CGCCACGCTCCGTCGAGACTAGTTAAATCCCAAGTGTCGATTACTTTCTGCTCTCCCGCAGTAGTCGGCACGACAATGACAATGCATTGATTAATTTTAACAGAGCAGTGGAGATTGAACCAAATGACACATATGCACTGAGTAGAAGTGGAAGTGTCTATTTGGAACTAAAACAATATGACAATGCATTGATTAATTTTAACAGAGCATTGGAAATTGAACCAAATAACACATATGCATTGAGTAGTAGGGGAGCTGTCTATCTGGCTTTACAACAATATGACAATGCATTGATTAATTTTAACAGAGCATTGGAGATTGAACCAAATAACACAGATGCACTGAGTCTTAGGGGAGCTGTCTATCTGGCTCTACAACAATATGACAATGCATTGATTAATCTTGACTGTTCATTAGAAATTAAACCAAATAACATATATGCACTGAGTATTAGGGGAGATGTCTATCTGGAACTAAAAAAATATGACAATGCATTGATTAATCTTAATAGAGTATTGGAGATTGAACCAAATGACACATATGCACTGAGTAGAAGTGGAGGTGTCTATCTGGAACTAAAACAATATGACAATGCATTGATTAATCTTAACAGATCATTGGAGATTGAACCAAATGACACATATGCACTGAGTAGAAAGGGAGGTGTCTATCTGGAACTAAAACAATATGACAATGCATTGATTAATTTTAACAGAGCATTGGAAATTGAACCAAATAACAAATATGCACTGAGTAAAAGGGGAGCTGTCTATCAGGTTCTAGAACAGCATGGTTAATCATTGGAGATTGAACCAAGGATGCATGGACATTGAGTATGAGGGATAGTAATAGTGTTTATAGTGCTTGAGCAGATGACAGGGGTTAAACAAGCAATCTATTACTATAATAGGATCTCTTTATAATTATCTCAAACAGTATACAGTGAACTCTCCCTAAATGCACACCCTTGAGACCGAAAGTGTGAGAGCATGCATTTAGGGAGAATATAGTAATTCAATACTTTATTCATTTATTGGTTAAAATATTTTTGATCTATGCTTGTCTGTCGCACCATATTAGCCTTTTTTCTCTCTAATATATGTCTTGAGAATATTTATGTATTCACTTGCATTTTCTCGTTGTAGTAAAAATGCCTGTACAGTTTTCAAGCCTTGTAATGCCGTACCGGCTGCTATTTCAGTGCTTGTTCGAGTTCTGGGTATGTAACCGATTTGTATTTGGAGCAATGATTTCTTCTTCAGAAAGTAACTGGTTGCTTTGCAAAATTCGCCATTTATTTTCGATCCAATTAACATACTCCGCGAGCATACAGGCAAAGTTCGTATTTTTGCGAATCTGTCAAAGTTGGCTTACTTTTTGGCGGCATGATGAATTACCGTAAACTATCGTGAATAAGAAAAAATTGCAAGGGCCGTAATGTTATGAAATAGCTAGCTATCACGCATTAAATAATTATGTCACGAGGTCTATCCGTTGAACCAATCAAAATAATTTATAGCAAATCGCGATTCACGCGTATTCCACATTTCTCCATGGACACTGCTGCTGCATGGGTTACTGGTAGAAAGATCCCGCAAGAGGAGAAAGATAAACTTGCTGAGACGGACTGGGATTGCTTATTAACACAACTGTTGAAGGGATTAAATCAATTGTCAGTAACGAGCTTGCTGCCGGAGCAATATATAACAAACTACAAGAAAAATCTGTTGGTGAATATATATATTTCATTGCATAAGGCTGTCCGTGCTTATAGAAATTGAACATGCTTCCCGCCTCAATTGTGGTTTGGTGTTATTTGTCTTTCAACATGTTAGTTACTAAATTCTAAGTTGGGGCATTCACAATATCAATTGATTGTTAGGAAAGAGCCTGATCTACTTACATATACTAACACGTCAAAATTCCAAAAATTATATCTGGCAAAAGAAGCGACTGTTCGAAGAGTATTTTTACAAGTATTTGGTCATATTCATCAGTCTAAATAAAAGGGATGTGATGATTTCCCTTCCACTGATATCAATGGAAATGATGAGAAATTTGAAGATATACCTGATATGTGTAATGCATAGAATCAGGCTCAATGTAGGTATTGAGCTCTCTTGCCGTTAGTTCCCCTATTCTGTTACGAAAATGTCAAACTTAAAATAGTCTGGTAATGATCTAGAAAATTTTTGTAAAAATTACTACAGAGCAATGCACTCCACGCATAAATTTTACAATAAGATTGACTGAATTATAATAGGGCTGAAGAGGTCTTGGAGGCGTCCCAACGTCGGATGGGAGGTCTAAAGCTGGGCATGATCCAGAAGACAAGATTTGGGACGGCAAAAAGCATGAAAATCCTTCATTTCACCGGCTATAACTTTTCCCTTTGGAAAAATAACAATATAGCGATTTTCGATCGTGACTAGTTGATGATAAAGTGGAGATATGTCTGTGAAATCATACCTCGAATTCTCTCCTCATTCGATGTCATTGAACAAAGGAGTGAGATTTTGAATGTCCGGGAATGGAAGCTTCGCGGGTTCTTCCGACAAATAAAAGATTTGTGAAGACTGGAACAAGTTGATCAAGCTTATGGAGGATACCCATGTATGATTGTTGAGGAAGCTCACTAGGGAGAGTATACTTTCGTAGGTAACAACAGTCCTACTATTCAATGCGACGAAACCATACTTGAAAGGAGGTGGTGAACAGAAAAATGATGGTCTGGAAGAAGAACTTAATAGAGTTCCAGTGTTTGCAATGTCATATTGCTAAATGACTCTGGCTACTCCTACTTTAGGTGGTGGAACTTTGGCATGTTAGGTTATGACCATGCCGTCAACACGTTGGTTCGGTACAAATTCTGATGAGAGGGACAGTCTTCACTTTCTGAATTCACGAATGAAATATGGAAGTCAAGGGATCTTTTGACAGAATATAGTGAATTGATGTACAAGTTTGGGTATTAATAGAACTTATTGAATGTAGACACCTCCATAGAACCATATCCGTATTCTTAATGAGATTGTGGAAAGTCGACAAATCGTTATAACGTAGCTATTTCTTCACCACAAGCTCGGGAAAATGTACCCCTTTATGATGGCGAGTTAATAACTCAATCACCATAATAAAATATTATCGAATATAACCAAATCAGATTGTTTAGCGAAGAAGCTAGCATGAGTTAAAACAAGAAATTGCGCACTGATATATAGTGCAGTAAAGGTCACGGAATCCAACATGCATTTATCCATTGGTCTTTGCTAAATTGTCAATGTATATCACTCATTTGATTTACAGAGAATATTCCCGATATACGTGTGTGTACGATTCATTGTCAAGATTTTTTTTAAAAAAAAAACTCGACGAGAGAGTAATTCATAAATATAATTGCTGGCAAACGTGCTCTTCTTTAATCCAAAATCATTAAACTTTCGTGTGATACACTAGTAAATGGGCATAATAAGTTATTCTACGTGCTACCATATCTCAATACGTTTTCAACAAAAGCTTTACTCTTTGGCCAGTTGAATTGTATCATAAAATCTCTTTGTAGTAGCAGCATCCGGAAAATACACACTTGCGTTTTCCATAGCGTTTAAGTATCTGTATGGAAAATGATCTTTAAAACAAGCCGGCGTCATCTCATGTATCTTTTTCCAACGGGATTCCGGAAATTTATTCTTTTCGTCCAAACTCTCTATGGGCCGACCATTCTCGTTCGACTGGAGCCAATGCTCGAATTTTGCCTCCGGCTTACGCCCGTCCTGGAAGAATCTTACGGCTTCCCCAACGTGCGTGTAGTTAAAAAGATAATTTTCGCTAGCGAATCGAAGTAGATCGGGTTCGTCAAATCCAATAGGCACCCGGCAGACCATGTCTTGGTCGCAGATTACGCGCCAGAGAGTATTGAAGCGAGAGGAAGGCGTGTTACAGGTAGAGGCAAACTTAACAGCATACTGACTGTTGCCAATGCATGGTGTTCCGTAGACGTAGGCATCTCTATGGGAATAATATATCGGAGAAAAGGAAGAACAATGATTAGTTTTAAATATCAAAGAAAGTTACCATATTTATTAATAATGTATTCCATAATATTCGTTATGGACTACTTCCGGTCCATTTCGATCAACAACTTGTTGCCAATTATGCTCATCAGCCAGGTGGCAGTCAATGATATAAACAGTTTCCCACTGTCCATTTCCATACCTTAAAATACACCCATCTGGTAAATCTGCAGGACTGCACATTAATCTCGAATAGAACAAAGTTGCAAGAGCGCTTCCTAGCGAATGGCCAGTAACCCAAACGTTGATCTTCTCTTCCGCCACCGAATTTGAAGCGCTTTTTGTGCCATTATTAGCGTAAGTCCGGTTAGCGCGAATTTCCTTCATAATCTCGTGCAGATTGGCCAATATGGTCCTGTACGAATAATCCTCGATCGACTTGGAGCGTCCCTTGAACGAATCTCCAAACAAAGCTTTGTAAAAACCTTCATGCACTTCACCGAACAAATGTGTCCTGGCATCAGTGCGCATAAAAGTAGCGTCAATCAACCATTCGGAAAAGTCACTCGGTGACGTTCCTTTAAACACAACTACGATAAAGTTTTTATCACGCTGATAGAACGCGCCACAAAACGGACTGGCATCTGATCCTAGTTCGGATAGTGTTCTGAATTTTAGATTCCAACTCTTGGCGGTTTTCTTAATGAATTCGTTGTAAGGAGCCGACTCAGTGAAGTGAATAGGATAATCGGTCCGGTTGATCTCTTTGGGGTCCTTGCGTTCATATATGAGAGCAGATAAAACTAGCAAACATTTCGCAACGTCTATGTTGAAAGATGGGCGGGAAAAGCGCTCGTCCTTGTAGTCGCTGTAAGTTGTTATCTTTAATGTGTCATCACATTTGAGAGATATTGGGTCTTCGAGAAAACTGCTAGCAGTATCTATAAGAGCCTTCTTGTCTTTATCAAACATCTCTGGATAAACTGAATAAAACAGTAGAGGTAAAAGCCCGTGAGACAAGGAATATCAAGATGTATATATACCTGACTAGAAGTTTTCATAAGTCAAACCCCGTACATACACCAGTTACATATTGATAGGTTGTTATTTGTCTGTCTAAGTCCGTATTTTTCAGCAATATAAAAAGCTACGGCGACAACGGCCATTACCAAACATGCAGTCGGGTACATAGTCAGAGTTGCAAATGATGCCACAGGATGGCGAACGAGTTGTGTCCAGTCGAAGACAAATGTCAGGACGAGTATTTTGAAGCAATGGACAAAGTATTTCAGAAGAGGTTTGAAGGAAGAATCATTGCTGGCAGATGTTCTGATAGCGGAGGTTTTGGTAGGGGAGATGGGAGGTAAAGACGAGGAGGACGACGAGAACAACGAAGAAGAGTCGGAGCTCTGATGTGACAACGAGTATTCATCATCCATTACGTCGGTGGTGTTGAGATATTTGATGGTTTCGCGCCTATGATGGCGAGTATAAACCGTTTTGATCTTAATAATAATATATATAGATGTATATCATCGGAGCAGTTTGAATTTCACCTACCTTAAATCAATTTCTTTTGAGAATTTTTGTAAGATACATCGACTATACCCGTTCTTATACAAAGTTCAAACCTTGATATCCTTTCCAATAGTGATCACATGTTTATCCTCGTTTTCGATGATAGCAAACATGTTTCTTCCCAATATGCTCAGTCCTGTTGAACAACATCTGATGATAACGCAAAATCAGGTAGTATCCGTGTCTATCGTTTGCTGCGTCTGCGAGAACTCGAACAAAGTTCAGCAAACAAAGATAGAGTCAAAGCTCAAAACCCGATTTTGATAAGGATCTGCATTATCGGCATGTGAAAATAACAATCACTCGATAGGGAAAGTTAAAATTCGAGAGATTTACTTTATTTGTCGCTTTGGCCTGTACCAGTTTTGTCCCGTCCATATATAGGCCCGTGCACTTTTGGGTTGCTCATACTTTGTCAGATAACTTATTATTTACTCTGCCATAAATTATGGCTGTCACGTATTGATGCGCATTGTGTTACAGATGTTATGTTAATATCAATCAGACAATGGACCCAAATTTCATTTTAATCTGCCACATTACTTTATGTGCAAACGGTTTACAGACTGATAAGCTAATAACAATTGAATCTGGACAGTAAATATAAGTGCAATCAGGCGCGAAAACGCGATCCATTCTTGGAAACACCATCTCACGGTTAAGTTGGTTATAAATATCGCATTCTGAATACAATAAAAATCGGCAAATACTTCAGCAAATTATGCGATCTTTAGATCAATTTATTGGTGTAATCCAATGAGTGCAAGCGTCCGGATATTCGTAATCATTGAAATCTTAATAATTCAGTTAAAGCTTAAATCAAGACGAGTAATTATTTTGTTGACTAAATAGCAAAAGAAGAATGTCCAATTAAACAATAGTTGAAGATCAACTACTAATATTATGATTCATTATGATTGAATTGCCTCTGGTACATTTCCGCAACCTAAAAAAGTTGGACCGAAGTAAGCACGTGTAAACTAATAATAATGGTGCTTTTTGTATGAAAAGAAAAGACTCACCATATCACTTGTTGTAGCATCTTCTGGTTTTTTATCTTCCCTTATTCGAATAAACCTTGGAAATCGTAGCGATATGCCCTTCGATAGATCGCACTAATACAAGATAGTTCAGACTTATATTATATATCTGGTTGCTTTTGTTCAAAGCCTTCAATAGCCACTTACCGTTCCAACTGCCGCTTTATACACTGGTGATATACTCAGATCAGCTGCAAGCACCTCCCATACAACGCTTGGCTCGAACCACACGTCTGGCTTGGTTTTTTCATCAAAATTATAATACCTTTTAGGTCCATCAATCACTTGTCCATTAAAGTGCTTGTAAAAGTCCTCTAAATTCTGATCGCTGAGTCCTGTTGATGTCTTTGTGATGGTCTGATATTGTTCTGTATCAGGGTCGTAGCATGCAAGCAGGAATCCTCCATATACGCCAGTGCGTTTACCGCGACCATAGTATGCACCGATCACTACCAAGTCGAGTGAGTCGCCCACCCCGGACAAGTAGTCTTTCTTCAGTTTAAGCCAATTGCGAGAGCGTTTAGATGGTTCATATGATGACTCGGTACCATCAAGTATTTTGATCATTAAACCTTCACAGCTGCCTTTGACGCTCTCGTCAAGGAATGTTTGTATGTCTTCCACATTATTCAAATTTTTATAACATACAAATGCGAATTCACCCTCAATTTCATTAAAGACGGAAAAGAGAATATCACGCCTTGCCTCAAGGGATTTCTGAAGTAAAGGCTGCCGTATTAGGGGAAAAAAGAAGTAAAGTCAGAATAAAAAGAGAAAGACAACACAACAGGTAAATAATCTATCTATTTAATTTCAGTAACTCATCTTACCTCTCCGTTGTAATACAATATGTCAAACCCAAACACACAGACTGTGACCTTGATATCTTCATGTTTGACATCTTTTCGCTTTCTTGTTGTTAACACTTGGAATGGCAATATACTTTTTTTCTCTTTATCCCATGCTACTACTTCACAATCGAGGACAAATGATTTTGTTCCTTCCTTAATAAACTTTTGGTAGTGGCGTGATTAGCGATTGTATCAAACTATCACAAGTAGTTAAATTAACTAAATACCCGTGTGACGTTTTTAACAATGTCGGGGAATTTCTGTGAATTGTCTTCAAGATTACGAGAGAATATTTTGATTGTACCGTCCTCCAACAGGTGAATCTGGGAGAAAATCAATGAACATTAAGTGAGGCTAGATATTCCACGTTTAGTCTAGCATAGAAAACGGACAGTGCAAGGGTGTTTTAAACACATTGAACAGACATCCTACCTGTCCCCGTTCACCATCATATTTATATTCACATGTGAACTTGTGCCCTTCCACTCTGTCAAGAACTTCAGTAATACTTTTTGTTGGATGGGCCAACATTGGTTTGCACGGTATACCTTAATAAATGATTGATATTAGTAGGGATAAGTTACTGTAGTTGAATAACGATAGCAGTTTATTACAGTACCAGGCGTTAATTTACAGTGCTCCCTTAGTCCATCGACGCCATGCTTTAATAAAACAGGAACAATGATATCGTATGAAGGAAGTTCGCTGTATACAGCTTTGATCACGCTGGGTGCCTCGGCCAATTTGGCAGTCTTATCGTTTTTGGACATGGTTTTGTATTCAGAGTCGTTCATAACAATAGCCTGAGCAAGACTTACTAACACTGTAGCTTCAGCGAGACCAATTCTTAGCTTGCCTTCAAGTGATCTAATAACAATTTATACTTACTAGTTAACAAATTGCTAATGAAGATGCAGCACACAAACGACAAGCTCACACTCACCGTATTAAATATTTTGCCTCTTCTCCGCTCCTACAACTAGACATAAGCGCGGCAATGGATTGAATCTTCCTCTCAATTGAATCTGCACCAGAAGTCAAGGCAATCTTCCGGAACGCCTTGAACACGGATGATACAGTCATTGGCTTGGGCGTGAATAGTGTCGACTGAGCTTTTTTGCTAGCTTTAGCAACAAGCCCCAAATCGCCAGTTTCACTGTACTCTTTACGAATGGCTTGTACTTTACGGCCAGTCGACATTGCAATTGCTTTCATTAAAGAAGCTTCACCAATGCCCAGTTCTAGTCCTTCAAATTCCGGGCATATCTAGATTTAAAAAAAAGATAGTAAGAGTACAATCATGTAACGTTCTCAGCGTTTGCCGCGGGGGAGATGTCAGTGCGCCATATTGACGAATTTCCAGCCAGTGATAGTATAACTCACCCGATTTATACATAGATATATCACTTCAAGTAAATTACTGGGACTTTTTTCAAGAATACGCAAAAAAAACGTGGTCATTATCTCCTGGATTTCTAAACGTTTTGAAGTCGCCTCAATCTTTTCATAAGCATTAACAAGTGCCGCATATAGAACACTAATGAATATCAATGTTATTAATACCCTGCTTCAGCAGACTTTACCAGCTTCGCACATGCGTCTCCAATTTAAAAATTACAAGTCTTTGGCTTACCTTTCTCCTGCCTTCCAATCAATATCAACACTTGCCGATACATTGTTAGAAGCCCTGGATCGATAAACAGTGGTAAGATACTTCACTTGCATGAAAACACGTAATTCAGCATTCAAAACTCACTCACAATAGAACAGCAACAGCTTTAATTGTGCTCTCTTCTTTCTTAGTAATCTCTTCAGTGTCCACATCCTCTGAATTAGTGGGGAGATCTTCAGCTGTGTTATTAACAAGAATTTTAATTATAATCCGGTCGAGATCAACAAGAGTAGCAAGCATTAGTTTAAATGTTTACCAGAATCATTTTTGGATACTTTTTCCACTTGCGGCGCTTTACTTTCCTCCTCGACTGCCTTTTTCTTTTCCAACTTGACCCGCTTATTTTTTACGCGAACGTTTTCAGTATCATTCTCATCTTCTGAGGACTCAATGATACGTCTTTTTCTTCTAACTGGTGCGGTTACCGGTTGACCATTAGACTGTATATCTCCTTTTTTTCCAAAGAAGGTGTCTAGTTTTCCTTGTTTCGGCGGCATTTTCGCAGGTAAAAATAAACAAGCAGATTTACACGTACGCGTTTTGATGGGGGAAAATCAGGGAGGACTGCGGGTTTGTGTAAGAATGCAAGATTTTCCCGATTTTGTAATTTTGTGAAGATGAAAGTGATTTATTCCGAAGAATGTGCAAAACATGCGCCAAAGTATGAGATACTATCTGGCAATTTGGTCGACTATTTTGGTATGTGATTAGGGTGTCGATGCGCTCTTTTTTTGGTCAATCACTCTCATATCACTGCCGCCTTTCATTCTTAACATCATATTTAACGCTTCTTTGTTTTTACAGAATCTCCAGTTCGTATAGAAATTATCAAGTCTCACCTCCAATCCTTTTCTTCATCGCATAATTACACCTTTCACGAGTCAACTGATTATGGTATCGATGCGATACTAGCAGTTCATGATAGCGATTTCGTTCAGTATTTAAAGACGGCATATGACGAATGGTGTCAAGAAGGTGGGGACAAGAACGGGATTCTTCCGGAAGCATTTCCGCATAAGAATATGCCATCTTTTGGAAGAAACTCGGGTGCGGCGACTGCTATTGCAAAAGCCGGGCATTATTGCTACGATTTGTCTTGCTGCATTATGGGTGGTATGTGTGATACTATGATGAATAAAGAGACGTGATATTTAATATACTAGACGGAATCTCGTTCTTTTCTTCTTTCTAGGCACCTGGTTAGCAGCATACGCATCGGCACAGGTGACAATCTCGGCAGCAAAGGCGCTTATGGAAGATTGTTCTTTGCCGAATGAAAATGGGCCGATTGGTGTCTTTGCGCTTTGGTATGATAGGATTCTGCAAAAAGTTATTACCATTAAATTTCCGATCGTAGGGACTAATTCGATATAATTTCTTTTTTAAACAAAAGTCGTCCGCCTGGTCATCATGCAACAAACAATCTGTGTGGAGGCTATTGTTTTCTTAACAACGTAGCGATAGTCGCTCGGCTTATTATTTCGGCTACTTCAAAGAAAGTAGCCATACTAGACATTGACTACCATCAGTACGTATCTCCTATGCTTTCGTAATCTTCCTTATCTAACTTATTCTTTACTTGTAGTGGCAATGGAACGCAAGCAATATTCTACTCGACGTCTAATCCAATATACGTATCTCTTCATGGACATCCCGATTATCCGTGGTTTTCTGGACACGCGTCCGAGACTGGTGAAGGTGAAGGTGAAGGATATACAGTCAATGTACCGTTAACAACGGAAACAGACGATAAAAAGTATTTGGAGGCCTTGAGAAGTGTTATTCAAAAGATTATTGCTTATGAAGCTGACTTTCTTGTTGTTTCATTGGGCGGTGAGTTGGCTTTTTCGCTGTATACGTGGCTCTGTACGATGTTTACGCTTTTCGCTCTGATTATTGATCGATGGTTTTCATTGCTTTGTACCAGTCGACACATTCATGCACGATCCTATTGCTGGATTCAACATGACATCTGGTGTATACATCGAGATAGGCAAACACATCAAGTCTATTGGGAAGCCAACATTGTTTGTTCTAGAAGGGGGATATCATTTGGAAACCATTGGAATAAACGTTGGAAACATTTTGGAAGGATTTAATTCATAGTCAATGTAGGAATGAAAATTGACGTATACAGTTGTGCATTGACTGTTCATTAGCAACCATGAAATAGATTTGTGAATTAAGTAAAACAACAATTCTCCGCATGATAAGAGCGATTTGTTTATAATATGCGTGATGCTTCACACAAGACAAGCAGATGATGAGAATATAATCGATGTCCAATACTCACCCACACTCTCTAAAACACACCACGTTACCACGCTATCTCACGTCTCATGCTTTTCTCATCATCATGGCACTGTGCTCTCTCACCGCCTTCATATCAACTCGGGTTTATATTCTAAATCACCCTGTTCTTCTCCATCTCGATATAATCCTCTCGCCCCCATCGGCAAGTGTGCATTCATAGTTGGAAATAAGTTTACACTGATTGACGCGTAGCTATTGAACTTTCGGCCTGACGTATGAAAACAAAATGATAATAAATAGATTAATTTCAGCTTGTAATATTTCCTACTAGCTTTGCCAATAACATAATATAGTCAGACACATAAATTTTCAACAGGCTATATTTCAGACATATGCTTGTCATTTATTTGTTTATTCATCATAATAATAACTGCATGCAATATAAGTTGAATACTTACAAAATGCGTATTCTTCATTGCCACACACTAGCACGCCGCCTGCCACAGACGACAACCAGAGACTAAGGAATAAGAACAAAGTTTTCCTAGTAATATATTAAATATGTTAGTTCGTAATCCACGAGAGTATGGATAAAGCCGATTAAATGTAAAAGTCAGAAAATGCATGAATGGTTGTTAGATTGCTGTCAACATCAAACCGAGACGTACTCTAGTTTTCGTGTCTCGTCATCTGTTCATCACACTGCTTGTTCATATACCATGACGAAGACAAAACGAACCTGTATTGTGATTCATTCACTTGGTGACTTTGATTAATGCTTTCAGCTGAAACCCCTACTTGATAAACAATGAACCATAGTTAATACCAGTAACATACGGTCTGGCTATACATTTATATCATGTTTACTTACTGTAGAGATAATTGCTTCATTTAATCAATTGAGCGTCTAAAAAATCAAGTGTATCATCATCAAATCAATAATGGTATCACGTTCGGCGGAATAGCTTCCATAGTTGAACATATCTCAGATGCCGGTTTTCTAGGCCGGGTTATAACAGTGCGTTTCAACACTTTTAGATGTTCAGTGCCCAGTGCGTTTCATCATGTAAATGACGATTAACGTACGGTTGAATTATCTCACCTCTTTTGGGTTGTAGTAAACACATGGTGTTTGAATCTTACCCATTGGTCTTTTGGTGTTATTCATAATCTCATCGTGTCGAATTGTAACACTTTGCTAAGGTTCGTTCGAGTCGCCCGAAACAATATTTAATGTGGATCATCTTACACGCACCAAAGGAAATGTAGATAATGTAACAGCCAAGCTCAACACCTGAAGAAAGTGGCGTAAATAGGAATTAATACATTGGTTTGAAGCAATAATAACGGAATGTCAAGTAATAATAGTTGCTCAGCTGATATAGCAAATTAATCAACACTATAATTTCAGCCGGTAATTCCAGCGTTTTTATAATTGCTATTACTCATCCTAATAATTCGAATATATCGACCCAATTGTTAAGCAACGTACCTGGAACTAGTTCGCAAAGGCAGTCTCGATCACCGAATGTGCCGAGTTCAAAAAAGAACTAAATCTACAGTCATCCATTGATTAATGGAGAATTGATGATACTGGTTAATGTCTTTTCACATATATTATTATCAAAGTACTTTAGCAGTCTCCGTTGATAATTCAGTTAGTGCATATTTTAATCACATATTAAAAGTATCAGAAACTCTAGTTTGATTGATACGAAATGTCATCATATATGGTTGAAGGTCGGACGCAAAGAGTGAGTACATCATAGAACAGACCTTGATTATGGTCACTAAAATGTCATGCCGTAAGGACAAGAGGTTGGAACAAAAGTGATAACAACATGTGTTAGATGAGGGATTCGTCGTTTGGTCGAAAGGAAATGATGCAGAAGCAAAAAAAAAAAGTTTGTCACATGACCAATGCAGGAACGACTGATTATGATAATGATTATCAGATAATAGATTAATATGCAGGAAAACGTTTACATGTCACAGTTCATACTTAGCATTTAGATAATAGCCTTGCAAGGCAAGTAGTTATCTGTAGTTTGGCTAATAAGTGTTTATGTATTAACATCCAACAATATCTTAGGAATAAAACCCTGGCATCTGGTGCATTCGTAACGTGTCTGTTTCTCCTAAATAAATGACTCTTTGCAGGGGCCACGACAATTAACTAAGTGACTATATTAGTATTTGCCTAGTTTCAAAAAATTAAATATATAGCGGATACATCAACCATTTAAAGACATTTGCTTATGCCGCCTTTGATGTGGACAATTAAGGCCATAATTTGTTGTTGATGAACAGAATTAATTAGTCACATACTTAAGTTTCCATGTACCATTATTTACACACAATTACAAATTACTTTAATTGATGTGTTAATTTGAAAATGAATATGTAAAAATACAGAAAGAATAACACATAATCGACTTACAACTCGATAATTATTTAATCAAGTGTAAACCCAACAATAGACTTGGCATTTTGATATTTTGAACGCCAGGTGAAACACGGACTTTGGACACTAATATACTAGTTGGCAATAACTCGAAACAGGACATTTGCAATTGAAAATTCTTATTTAACAACTGGTTCCTAATAAAGGACCGGGTTTAATCTTGTGTTGTTTTAAATTAACACAGTATCGTTATCATGACTGATTATTAAACTTAATTTTTAACAAGACCACAAAGATAATGATATCGAAACACTGAAAGCAAGTGATGGGCGAGAAAGTTGCCTTGGAGGGAACACAGTAATACCTGGCTGCGGGCCAAGCTCTCCAAGCTTATTTACAACTTATGTATCGCGAATGTATCTACGTTTTTTGGCTATGACTCCCAAATCTTATCAAGCGTCAAACTTTATACACGTACTATAATATCGCAATTACTATATCAATAGACAACAATATCGATAGTTTACTTACTCCCCTTTTTGTCAATGTATGGAAGTGTTATAAAAAAATTACAGTTAAATGCATAACTACACATTATTTACGCAGTATCAGTTTTATAATACAAATTAACAAAATAAATCCTGTACGGAATGTTCAAATATTACTAAGTAGAGCAAGCGTAATTTATACTTTTGTACTTTTAGTCACGATTGATTGATATTGTACAATACATACGACATCTATGCATTATTGTTTACTCTAATGATAATATTCATCAACACATTCCAGGATAGTTTTCGGATTTTATTGATTGTGCTTCAAACAAATTTCGACTTTTCTCCAGAATAAGCCTTCAATCAATGTAATTAATATAACATTGCGTTTTTTTAAGTATAATGGACACTGTTATTAGTTACAAGTAATAGTCATACGATACGGATGCACTTGCCGCTGCAAACAATAAAACGTGCATGTATTAATAGCGCGATACTACGCGTATCACAGTATAATGGAATCAATCATACAAGTATCGTACACGTAAATAATCATTTATTAGATGAATGCAATTAATATCGTATTAACATATTCGGATTATCCGGGTTGTTCAGGTCTTGTATAACGCTAGCAAGGAAAAACGTATTCCACAACTACAATAATTCCTTCCCATCCCGACTTCTTGGCTTTCACATACTTCGCATGGCCTCCATGCACAGACGCAGTTCCAACTTGACTCCATAACAGACCTCTCACACCTCTTGACCCGGGTACAGTTTAAGCGATGCGAATATGATATGGTTATTTCACGTGACTCTACATTGCTTACACAAAGTCACATGGATACATTATAAGATTACTATAAAAGGTATATCTATTATATCGATTATTTACGAGATCTCAAACAAGATCCAAATCCGGTTTTCTTTTATTTCTCTTTTTCTGCTCGGCTGAACAAAGATACAAATGAATGTAAAGGGGGAAGGGAGGGAGAGATAGCTTAATTAGGATAACTGAATACCAAATGAAGTGTATAAGGGCTAGACTTGATCTCTTGAAAGAATTCGGTTATCAACAAACAATCAACAATCACATTTACTAATAGACAAACTTTGGCAGACAACATACGCAATACACTTACGCAAACACACTTACGCAAACACACACACACACTTACTCACATACACTGACTGCCTTGCATGTAAAATCAACAATACTGTGCGCTGCTGCATTTCATTTCCTACAATAGCAAACTTTTTGCATGAATGGGCTGTTAATGTAAAATCTAACACATCACTGATTATCAACATTGTAAGTCTCAAAAACCCTTATTAAACGCCCAAGCCGTTAATATGCCATATATGTAAATGTGTATCAAGATTGGTCGTTTTGGTATCAATGATTGGGCATCAATAATTGGGCATTATGAAAATCGAATGGGTTTGTGTCACTAGGTTAAGTCTTGGAGGAGTGAGTATGTCAATATCCTAAATGAGATTTCAATGAACGAGGCGAAAAAAGCTGGGAGTATGTAATCCATGTACAACAGAAATTTCCGGCTTGTATCATGCGAGTGATTATTTTTTTGTTTCATGATTGCATGTAAACTTGTTATTTTGCGTATTACAATCTAATATTCGTTCGATCAGCAAGAGAGTGAATGTATCTTGTGTTGGGGGAAAAAAAAATCAAAAGTGGGTTGGGCATTCCTTGTCCTTGCAGAATGAAAAAATAAATCTGTTTTACTTGCCCAACTTTGTCTATTTTTTTTTTTCGTCCACCAATTGCGGGAAAGCGTTTTTATCTAACGGTCGAACTTACGACAATAGTCTAGTGGCACATGACTGGATATTACAGCCGACTGCATAATAATAAGCAGTGAATAAACATGTATAATATACCATTGTCGTATTCTTTATCTTTATATCTGTCTTTATTACCATTTCTGGAATAG